TCCTCCTGTGCCCCCTGGAGCCCTCGCCCTCCCTGCAGCGCCCTGGGACCTTTGCCCTCCTCCCCGTGCCTCCTGTCCCTGCGTCTGCCCGGCCAAGCCGTGCCAAGGCCAGGCTATCTCGGCCCCGGCGGGACGCAGGGCCGTGCTGGTGGCGCGTGGCGGGTCCCAGCAGGAACGTGTCTTTGGCAGACGGCGAGCTCTACGCCGGGACCGTCAGCAACTTCCAGGGCAACGAGCCGACCATCTCCCGCAGCCAGGAGAGCCGCATCGCCCTCAAGACCGAGAACTCCCTCAACTGGCTGCAAGGTGAGGGGTGAGGGCCGGGGCTGGCACGGCTGCTCGGGGTCTCTCTCCCCTGCAGCGAGGGAGGCAAGGAATGGGGCCAGAGTGCTGAGGGTGCTCGTGCCCCCAGACCCAGCGTTCGTGGGCTCAGCCTACCTGCGGGAGAGCCTCCCTGCCGGCAACCCTGAGGGTGACGACGACAAGGTCTACTTCTTCTTCAGCGAGACTGGGAAGGAGTTTGACTATTTTGAGAACACCATCGTCTCCCGCATCGCGCGTGTGTGCAAGGTGGGCATAAGGCGGCAGGGGGGTGTGGGGGCTGTGCCTGGGGCGTGACTCGCTGCTGGGGTGGGGGGATGTGGGGCCATCCCGCATACCTGGCCCCCCCATTCTCTCGGCGTGTGGGGTGCCCCGCGGCACGGCATCGCCCCCTGACCCGCCGTGCCACGCAGGGGGACCAGGGCGGGGAGCGCGTGCTGCAGCGGCGCTGGACAACCTTCCTGAAGGCACAGCTGCTCTGCTCACACCCTGAGGACGGGTTCCCCTTCAACGTGCTGCAGGACATCTTTGTGCTCACCCCGGGTGAGCTGCGCTGGAGGGAGACGCTCTTCTACGGTGTCTTCACCTCGCAGTGGTGAGTGGTGGGGACCCAGGGCAACACGGGGGGTTTGGCAGGGCCAGGCCCTGATCTTGCCGTTGCCGTGCCCGTCCTCCCCAGGAACAAGGGCGGGCTGGGCAGCTCGGCCGTCTGCGCCTTCCCCATGCGCAGCGTGCAGCGCGCCTTCGGCGGGCTCTACAAGGAGGTGAACCGCGAGACGCAGCAGTGGTACACGGACACCGGCCCCGTGCCGGAGCCCCGGCCGGGCATGGTAGGTGGCCCCTTGGCGCCTGCCGGAGCGCAGGACGCGGCACCGCCCCATTGCGCTCCTGCTCCCAGTGGCTGCCGCAGCATGGTACCCAGCCGCTTCCCCAGGCCCTTCCGAGCCCCTTCCTTTCCCTGCAGTGCATCACCAGCCACACGCGGCACCTGAAGATCAATTCATCGCTGCAGATGCCAGACCGGGTGCTGAACTTTATCAAGGACCACTTCCTGATGGACAGCCCTGTGCGCAGCCAGCCGCTGCTGCTGCAGAGCCAGCGGCGCTACCAGCAGATCGGCGTGCACCGCGCGCCCGGCCTGCACGGCACCTACGACGTCCTCTTCCTGGGCACGGGTGGGTGCAGGCGGGCCGGGCAGGCCGGGCTCTGTGCCCTGCGCCCCGGCCCTGCTCAGCACGGCCCCTCTGTTTGCAGATGACGGGCGGCTGCACAAGGCCGTGCGGGTGAACCGCGGCGTGCACATCATTGAGGAGATCCGCCTCTTCCCTGACGGGCAGCCCATTCTCCAGCTGCTGCTGGACCAGGACCAGGCAGGAGCTGGGGCGAGGGGGGCACTGGGAGCTCTGCCTGCTTGAGGCTGGTCCCGTCTGTGGGCTGGGGGACACAAACCTGGGAAGGCAGGGGTGTGCAGGAGCTCACCCCGCTGACCCCGCTGTCCCTTCCTACAGGGCCTTGTGTACGCAGCCACCTACACAGCAGTGGCCCAGGTGCCCTTTGCCAACTGCAGCCTGTACCGCAGCTGTGGGGAATGTGTGCTGGCACGGGACCCCTTCTGCGCCTGGAGCCGGGGTGCCTGCCGCAGGCTCACCCCACATCCCCCGGCACACCCACAGTAAGTGTGCACCCTCTGCCATCCCCTCCACCCCAGGGCACCCCACTGCCCTGCCCTCCCTCTGTTCCCAGGCTCTGGGCACAGGACATCGAGGATGCCGACACGGAGCGGCTCTGCCAGCCGGCCAACGCCTCCCAGCCCCGTCCCCGCATCCTCCTGCCCCCAGGTGAGCTCCCGCTGGTGCTGCTGTGAGTGTGCATCCCAGGGGATCCCCCAGACTCCTGCTCCACCATCAGCAGCCCCTGCCCACGGCTGGGGTCCCCTCGCTGATACCGGCTTGTCTCTGCAGCCTCAGGCTCCCCGTGCCAGCAGATCCAGCTCCCTCCCAACGCGGTGCGGCCGCTGCCGTGCCGGCTGCTCTCCAACCTGGCCTCGCGGAGCTGGCTGCACAACGGGGCTCCTGTCAACGCCTCCTATCTGGTGCTGCCCGACGGGGCCCTCATTCTGGTGGGCAGCCCGGAGCGTGCGGGCACCTACGAGTGCTGGTCGCTGGAGGAGGGCTTCCGCAAGCTGATGGCCAGCTACTGCGTGGGCGTGCAGGAGCCAGCCCTCGGGCCAGCGGACCCTGGCAGGAAGGTGGCTGCTGGCCGTGACGCCCTGGAGACGGTCAGCACATCGCGGAGCACCTCAGCGGTGGGCAGCGCTGCGGCACGGCTGGACGGCAAGACCTACTGGACCGAGTTCCTGGTGATGTGTGTGCTCTTTGCCGCCGCCGTCCTCGTGCTGGCCTTCTTCGTGCTGCACCGGCACCGCGACGGCATGAAGGCCTTGCTGGAGCCCGGCGACCCCAGCAGGCACCAGAAGCCACCCCGCAAGCCGGTGGAGAGCCTGCCCCTGAATGGCAGCAGCCTGCCCAGCACGGCTCCTGAGCACAAGGGCTACCAGGCCCTGCAGGACAACTACATCGTCAGTACCCCCGTGCATGAGCCCCCAGGACCCCCACGCACCTTCTCTGAGTCAGAGAAGAGGCCTCTCCACGTCCGTGACAGCTTTGTGGAGGTGTCTCCTGCCTGCCAAAGACCCCGGGTGCGCCTGGGCTCCGAGATCCAGGACTCGGTGGTGTGACGGGGACGAGAGCCAAGCCCTCACTCACCACTGCCTCTGCTCTGCTGAGCCTCGCCGGACCATGCACCACTGCCAGGGTCCGTGTCGTCTGTGTGTGCATGCCCAGAGCCCGGCACCCACCCTCTGCGGCAGCGCCCACCGGCCAGCGGGGCCTAGAGCCTGGCGGCTCCCTGGCATCACCTCGGTACCTGTGGGCGTGAGGGGTGCCCCGTGCCATCCGGGGCCCTGCAGGACGGCTCCAGCCCGGCGTCCCTGCTGCAGGGATGGGCACGGCTCCTGGCTCAGGCTGCTGGTGCCGGGCCCTGACCCCCTCTATGCAGAGGGCAGGAGGGGCGGCCGCAGACCCCCCGTGCCCCAACTCACTGTGACGTCCCGCTGGGGACCCAGGGCCACGCGTGCGGCTGGGCAGCGCCGGCCCCGCGGCATGTGCTGTGTGTTTGTGCTTGGTTCGTTTTTGATATGTGGAAAATGTGAATTGTGTCCGGGGAAGGGGAGCTGGGAACGGCTTCCCCTGCGCTGGGTGGGCAGGGACACCCCCACGGCCCCACGCGCGTGTGTGGAAACGTCTCTTGTTTTTATATAAAGTCCTTCAGACACGTGCGTGCGGCAGGGCTCGGCGCCTTCCTCGGGCAGAGCCATCCCGGCTGGCCCCGTGGAGAGCAGCCAGGTCTGGCTCTCCCTGCAGCCAGAGGCAGATCTGCCCATGCCTCCAGCGGGGCAAGGGCTGTGCTGGCCATAGCTCCGTGCTTGGCTGCGCACCGGGCCGGGGCACGCGGGGCCCTGCAGCGACAGTGGCTGTGTCCCTGTCACCTCCTGGCAGCCCTGGGCTGTCCTGGGGCCGTGCCTGAGGCCCGTGCCACGGCAGGGTGGTGCAGGGAGGCCCTGCGGTGCGGGAGTGCAGAGCAGTGGGGTGATGCCATCCTGGCACCATGAGAAACAGGAGAAGGCAGAGGTGACCAGGAGTAAGAAAACTGGGGGCCTGGGGCTGGGAGGAGGGCAGCCCCCAGCAGGAGAGAGGCTGTGACAGCCCCCGTCCCAGGAGCACAGTCTTGTGCTGCATGTGGGACCCACTGCCCGTGCAGGGAGCATCAGGTCCTCGTCCCCATCCCACCCTGCTGTGGGCTGACCCAGCACACTTTGCCAGCAGGACCTGACTCCGTGGTGGCTGAGGGCGAGGCCTGGGATTGCAGCCAGCGCTGGTTTTGAGCCCTCACGCAGCTGGGAAGCGCCGGCAGTGCCAGCACAGGCTGGGGAAGCGGTGAGCTCCGCAGAGACGGCGTGTCCAGGCAGGATTCCCCCGAGGGACCAGCACTGCCTCGCTCCCAGCTGGACCCGTGCACGGAACTTCCTGCACAGCCTGTTCTGGGACATCAAAAAAGCCACTGGAGGCGTTGGCTGGTGAGCTGCCAACAGACACAGCCCCGGGCTGCAGGGGCACGGGCCTCGGCGGGCAGATACCATCAGCACCGTGGGGCAGCGAGCTGGAAGGGCTGGCAGCGCCAGGAGCAGGAGCCACCGTGTGGGAAACGGCCACGGCAGAGCCCCGAGAGCCAGCGGCTGCTCTGCCCCGGCACGGGGCTCCGCGGGGCCAGCCGGACCCACCGCAGCGCTGGCAGGGCAAGGACGATCCTGAGCAAGGACCAAGGACCCTGCTGCTGCTGCCGCCCGCAGGGATGGTGCCACTCGCTGCCCAGGGCTCCCCTCCGTGCCCCAGCCTGAGCACCGAGCTCTGTACTGCCCAGAAGGCCCCCAGAGTGCAGGAGGTGGCCCTGGAAGGGCTGTGGTGGAGCAGGACGTGGCCCTGGAAGGGCTCTGGTGGAGCAGGACGTGGAGCCGTCCCCTGCAGCGGCGGCTGGCGGCAGGCAGAGAGGGCTGGCAGGAGCCCATGTCCCCAACACCCTGGTGGCACCCGTCCCACAGCCAGACAAAGGCAGCAAAGAGCAAGGGTGAAACCAGAGCCCTTTAATTGTGTCCTCACAGGGACTGGGGGAGGAAGAGGCCAGGGCGGCAGAGCAGCTGCTGTGCTGGAGCCAGAAGAGGGCAAAGACAGAAAGGGAGGAGGAGGAGGAGGAGTGCAGGCTCTGAGCACAGCCGTGGGGGGACAGCTCTGCTCTGGGGTGGCACCTGCACAGTGACTTCTGGGTGACTGCTCAGAGAAAGCACCCCCATTTGGGTTATTGCTCGTGGAAAATGATCCGCTTTTTGGTTATTGCTCAGAGGACCCACGTTCAGTTACTGCTCAGAGAAACGGATCCGTGGGGCAGCAGGCAGGCCCCCAGAAATACAGGAGAGGCAGAAGAGGCTGGCAGGGGAGGCAGCTCCCTGCCTGCTGCTGGAAGGCACAAGGTAGGAATTGGTCCTGAGGGCAGAGAGGGGCTGTGCCGTGCAGAGTGGCCCCAGGCAGGAGCAGAGCTGCCCTTGGAATGCATAGGGATTCAAATTCTAATGCTAGGACAGCAGAGGAGCCGCAGGAGAGGCAGATTCCTGGGACTCCCTGCTGCCAAGCAGGCACCTGAGAGGGGAGCAGGAGGGTTCCTGCCCAAGGCATTGCAGCACAGCCTGGCCACGGAGGGCCCGGGGCTGTGCTCCCTGAAAGAGGAAATGGCTGAGCCCACAGAGAGCTGCAGGAACTGGAGGAGTGCTGCTGGACAGCCAGGGGCTCACAGGACAATCTTGAAGGAGCTGCAAGAGATACGACAGGATCTGCACCTGCTTGCTAGCTGACACAAAGGGTTTACAAGCACCCAGCGCTGCAGGGACCAGAATGCCCGTGTGGGAGAGGCTCTGCAGAGCCAGCGGGGGATGCAGAGCTCTGGCGTTACGGCACACTTGGCACAGGGCAGCCCTGCCCTCGTGCACCACAGCGGTGCCCCAGTGCCAGTGAGCAGTGAGGGTGATGAGCCCCAGCCAGGTTCTGGGGACCCTCACCTGGCAAAGTCGGGGGAGCGGGACACGACGTGCTGGAACTCGGCGAGGTTGATGGTGCCGTCCTTGTCGATGTCGGACTCCTCCAGGATCTGCGGGGAAGGGGAGCGGTGAGCTCTGTGCCTGGGGCTCTGCAGGGCCCGTGCCCTGGCTGGGAGCCCTCACGTTTTGGATGAGCTGCTCCATCTCTGCGCTGCTCAGCCGGGACCCCTCGCCTTGCCCTGTCAGGCAGTTCACCAGTTGCTCCAGGTCCTTCCTGTCCAGAATCCCATCATTGTCAAAGTCTGCGGGGACAGACAAGGTAGGTTTTGGCAGGGCCGCAGTGACCCCAGGGAGCCACAGACACCGGCACTGCACCCTCCATGCACCTCACCGTGCCAAACCAGCTGTTCCCACAGGGAGTTCCTAAGGCCACCATCCCCGTGGGTGCTCCAAGGGCGCTGCCCGCCCTCCTGAACGTCCATTCATCCCCCTGCTCCCGCTTCCTCCAGGTGCAGGGATCCCAGAACACAGCACCTGTCCCCAGCCTTACCAAAGATGCGGAAGGCATAGTAGGATTTGACGTCAGAGGTGGCAGAATCGCTGAAGACACTCAGCATATCAAGGAAGTCTTCAAAGGACATGCTGTCATCCTCGGCCTCTGAGGTTGAGAACACGTGGCAGATGCGCTGCTGGAAGGGGTTTGCCTGCGGACATGGGAACGGCTCAGGCAGGGCTGGGCCCTGCTGGCCCCGTCAGGCACACCTTGGCTGTGGCTGCAGGTGAGCAGGTGCCCCGCTCTGCCACTGCTCCATCACCCACGGCACGGTGATGTCTGTTCTGTGTGCCTCCCGGGGTGCAGCCCCGTGCAGCAGGGAGAAGCAGGGTCCCCCGTGGCAGAGCAGGGACCCTTAGGATCCCCCATGGCACAGCAGGGACCCCCGGGATCCTCCATGGCACAGCAGGGACCCCAGGATCCCCCATGGCACAGCAGGGACCCCCGGGATCCTCCATGGCAGAGCAGGAACCCTTGGGATCCCCCGTGGCAGAGCAGGGACCCCCGGGATCCCCCATGGCACAGCAGGGACCCCCGGGATCCTCCATGGCACAGCAGGGATCCCTGGGATCATCACTTGCTGGATGAGGGCAGGGAAGCTCTTTGCTGGCACAGCGAGGCCGTGCCGGGTGCAGGGGGCCCGAACCCGGGGCAGCAGTGTCCCGGTGTGCCAGGCACCATACCCGCAGCTCAGGCAGCGTCAGGATCTGGCTCTTGGGGACCCGCGCGGAGCAGGCGTTCTCCCTCTCCTCCTTTGGCAGCAGTTCACTGAACCTCTTGTAGGCGCTTTAAGAGGCAGCAAAGAGAGCGGCTCTGTGGTGCGAGGGTGGCAGCACCGTGGTGCCCGTCCGGCACCGGCCGCGCTCCCCAGGGCGGGCCGGCCCGTTCCCACCGCTCCTGCCGGCTCTGCCGGGCCGGGCCGGGCCGTGCCGGGCTCCCACCGGAGCAGGGAGAGGGGCCGGGCCGGGCTCCCACCCGGCTCCGGGGCTGCCGGAGGGTCACCGGGCCGGCCCCGGCCCCGGGTCAGGGCGTCACCGGCAGCACCCGCGGACCTTGGCCCCGTCACAAGCGGCTCCGAGGGAGCGCCCCGGCGCCTCCCGGCTCCGCGGGGCGGAACGGGAGCTCTCCGTGCCCCGCGGCAGAGGCTGAGGCCCCGCGGGACCGGGCCGGCAGGCGGGGGGACACTCACGGCGGTACTTACAGCAAGATCTCCTGCTTGCTCAGGAACGTCAGCTCCTGCGGGGACAGCACGGCTCAGCACCGGCACCGGGGCCAAGGCCTGAGGCAGGGCAGCCCAGGCGGGCCCCGCAGCCGGCCCTGCGCCCCGGTGCCGGTACCTGGTACTCGCTCAGCAGGTCCCGCGGGATCAGACTGGCCGAGCCGCCCATGGCGCCGCTTCCCTGCGCGCTTCCCCGCCCGCCGCCGCGGAGCTGCCCGCCCCGGGCGGGGCAAACGCGCACGTACCGCCGGCCCCGCCCGCCGGCGCACCCGGCTCCCGGCCCCGCCACCGCGGAGATGGCGGCCGCGGCGGGAGGGGAGCCGGGCGAAGCGAGCCCCGAGGAGTTCGTGTACAGCGAGGAGGACTTCGTGCTGCAGGCAGCCGGCTGGGGAGACCCGGGCTCCGCGCCCTCCCGGTTCGACCGGGTGCTGCTGGCGGGCTGGAGCGACCGTATGGAGCGGGGACTGTTCCGGTACCGGCTGGGAGCGCTGCCCACCCGCGTCCTGCCCGGCGCCGCGCGCCTCGTGGCGCAGCTGAACGAGCAGCGCAGCGCGGAGCGCCGCCCGCCGCAGCCCGTCCGCAGCCTCCGCGACCCCTTCGACCCCGCCGCCTTCAACTTCACGCGGCTGCGCCCCGCCGAGCTGCTGTTCCGCCTGCGCCGCGCCGGCGGCCCGGAGCCGCTGCTGGTGGCGATCAACGCCAGCCCGCTGGAGCGGGGACACGTGCTGCTGCTGCCCGAGCCGGCGCGGCGCCTGCCGCAGGCGCTGACGGCCCCGGCGCTGCGCGGGGCGCTGGAGGCGGCGCTGCTCAGCGCCCACCCCGGCTTCCGCGTGGGCTTCAACGGGCTGGGCGGCGGCGCCTCCGTGAACCACCTGCACCTGCACGGGCTCTACCTGGACCGCCCGCTGCCGCTGGAGGCGGCGCCGGCCGAGCCGCTGGGGCCGCGCCTGGCGCTGCTCCGCGCCGGACCGGCCCCCGCCTTCCTCTTCTTCGCCGCCGGCCCCGCGGCGCTGGAGCCGGTGTCGCGGGCCGTGTGCCGCGCGGCGGAGCACCTGGGCGCCGCCGGGCTGGCCTGCAACGTGCTGGCCACGCGGGGCGACCCGCCGGCGGGGCCCGGGGGCGGCCGCGGGCTGCGGGTGCTGCTGTGGGCGCGCCGGCCGCTCTTCGGCCCCAAGGCGGGCGAGCCCTTCGCCGTGGCGCTGTGCGAGCTGGCGGGGCTGCTGCCGCTGCCCGCCGAGCCGCTCTACCGGGACATCACCGAGGAGCAGGCGCTGAGCGCCATCCGCCAGCACCTGCTGCCCGAGCCCGAGCTGCTGCACCTGGGCGGGGAACTGGCGCGGCTGCTGGAGCGGTGATGGCACGGACAGCGGCCGGGGCGCTGAACCGGGGGCACGGGCGGCGGCCGGGGCGCGGAACCGGGGGCGCGGGCGGCGGCCGGAGCTGAACCGGGGGCACGGACAGCAGCCGGGGCGCGGAGACGGTGACACGGACGGCGGTCGGAGCTGAACCGGAGGCACGGACAGCGGCCGGGGCGCGGAGACGGTGACACGGACGGCGGTCGGAGCTGAACCGGAGGCACGGACAGCGGCTGGGCCGCTGCAGAGCTGGGCGCACCGGGACCGGCAGGGGGCGCTGCGGGTGGAGGACACGGAAGTGACGGTCACGTGGCCGCGCGAGGCCGCTCTGGCCGCATGCCCCGCTCTATGGTGCGGTCGCCATGGGAACGCGGCGGAGCCGGGAGCGGTGCGATGGCGGCGGCGGGCGGCAGCGGCAGGGGCAGCGTGGGCCCGGGCCCGTCCCCGTCCCCGGAAACCCCTCCGAGTGAGGGGGCGCCCATCGCCGCAGCCCCCCGGTACCGTCCCGCTGCTCCCGCCGGACCCGAGCCGCGGAGGAGGCGCAGGCGAGTGTGGGGCCGCAGCCCCCGGCAGGGTCCGGCCGGAGCCCGTCCGGCCGCTCCCGGCGGCGCCTCCCGCTGCCTCGCTCGCTCTCGGTCCCGGCCCCAGCCCAGCCGTGGCACAGTGCCCAGGCGGTGCCCGGCGCTCCCCAGCCCCCGGGAGCCGGTGCGGGTCCCACTGCCCCAAAATAAATAATGTTCCCTGGAAGTGCCCCAAGGATCCCCTGTGTGACCCAGCCGGGCACGGCTCCGTGCCCAGGAGCGCCCTGCCCGCCTCCTTAGGGCGGTAGCGAGCTGGCTCGGCCGGGCTGCTCTGTGTGCGTGGGGCATCGGGGCTGTCCCCGCTCCGTGCCCTGCCCGGTGCCTCGCTGAGCTACTGTCATCTCGTCTCTATTCCAGTGTCCCCTCCATCAACCTGAGCGGCTGCAAGTACGACAGCGGTAAGTCAGAGGGACGGGCACCCGCAGGCTCCCCCGGCGCTGCCAGCCAGCCGCGCTGCTGGCTCCCCGTTCCCGCTGGTTTATTCACTGCTGCCGGAGTTTGTCACACTTCGGACTGAGATTTCTCCCGATTTAAAATGCAACAGCAGCGCGAGCCCTCAACATGCCCCGCACTTGTGTCTGCCAGCTGTCTGCTAAAACGGGCAAGAGGGGTTCTGTCAGCTAGAGTGCAAGGGAGCACCCGGGCTCGGAGACAGGGCCTGAGGGCTGTCAGCTGTTCAGGGTGAAGCTGGTGGTGAGCAGGCAGGATCTGTACCTGCAGCCTCTCCCTGTGCTGCTCATCCCCGGTGACCCCAGGAGGCTGGTCCACTCTCCCCTCCCACTCTCCTTCCACAAGCTGCATCTTCAAAGAACAAACTCCTGGCCCTTGAGGGCTGTTATTAATCTACCTTGCTAAGGGATCTTGGTGTGCGTGGATTCCCATCAGCCCTGCCAAATTCATACTTTGCACTAGCATGAACCATCCCAGCAGAGACCTTTTCCTGCAGAGCTGTGTTCTGCTGCTGGAAGACCTTTGATTTGGAGATTAAATTCACACCTTCACAACACTTGTATCTGCCTGTGAGGTGTAAAACCCATGGGAAGTTCAATCCCGCTGTGGAGGGGCCCTGGCACCTCAGGACAGGTGGGATTAGAGGGTTAGGACTTCCCAGAACACCTGCAGCCAGAGGCTTGGGGGGTTGGCCAGATAAAACTGGTGTTCCTAACGCCTTCCAAGGTGTCATGCCAATACCTTGTACCTCTGAGAGGGGAACTGCAGCCCGGAGAGCTGCATGCTCCATCCCTCGGGGGTGTCAGTGCCTGTGCAGTCCCTGGGGCAGGGATGTGTTTCACACCCCATCCCTTGGGGGTGTCAGTCCCTGTGTTCAGCCCCTCAGGCAGGGATGTGTTTCACACCCCATCCCCGGTTCCCTGCGGTGTGCCAGCCCTGCCCGTGGTCCCGGCTGGCCCTGTCACTGCTTGCCTTGGCACAGTGCGGCGGGCGGCGCAGCACTGCGGGCTGAAGGAGGCGGCCGAGCACGAGGAGTGGACGGTGTACTGGACGGACAGCACGGTCGCTCTGGAGCGCCTCATGGAAATGAAGCGCTTCCAGGTAAACAGAACACCTGCCCAGCAGGCATCGCTCGGGACACGGGGCTGTCTGTGGAACAGAAGCACCCAAAGTGTGCCCTGTGCCATCTGTGCCTTGGCTCCAGGGCATAGGGTCAGATGCCTCTGCTTGTGCCACGTCCCTGGCTGGTGTCATCAGCAGCACTCAGCAGCTGTGGTGGCAGCAGCAGCGTGCCAGCCCTGTGATGTGCTGTGAAACAAACAGCTCTTAGGCCGCTCCAGGGCTAAGATGGAATAGGCAGATAAATTAGTAGTGAAGCCCAGATAAAGCAAGTCTCACCCCGCAGCAGTCGTTCAAGGCAGCCACAGGCCTGGCTTCCCTCTCGCTGCTGGCTCTCCTCGGGGCTGGGAGAATCCATCCCCGCAGGGCTCCGCTGATCGGGGTTTTTCTGCACCACTTTCAGAAAATCAACCACTTCCCAGGCATGATCGAGCTGTGCCGCAAGGACCTGCTGGCTCGCAACCTGAACCGCATGCTCCGGCTCTTCCCCAAGGAGTACAACATCTTCCCCCGCACGTGGTGCCTGCCGGCCGAGTGAGTGCCGTGGGACAGCGCCCTGGGGACAGGGGACACGGCAAGGAGGCTGCTGGCCTGCTCCTTCTGGGCACCAGAGCCCAAACCTGCATTGCTTTGGCACACATGGCCCCGACCTCTTCTGCAAACCTCCCAGCAGAGCTGGAGATGTGTGCAGGGAAAAGGAGGGATGGGGAGGCTGGGTCGGGTCACGCAGGGACCGATCTGTGACTCCTGCAGATTAGGAATGGGAGTTCAATTCACCCCCTGCAGAAGTTCAGTGTGTGCTGGCCTGCAGCACCATGCTTTCAGTACCCAGCTGTTAGGAGAGAGTTCAGAGGGGTGTTTTGGGCAGCTGGTGATAGTCACCTCTCCCTTGCACAGCTACGGAGATTTCCTTGCCTATAGATCCATGAGGAAAGCAAGAACATACATCTGCAAGCCTGACAACAGCTGCCAGGGAAGAGGGATCTTCATAACCCACCACCCAGAGGAGATCAAGCACGGGGAGCGCATGATCTGCCAGCAGTACATCTCTGAGGTACTGGCATGGTCCTGGGGGAGGGTTCCAGCATCCCCCCTGCTCCCCGGGTCTCCTCAGGCCTGCTGGAGGTGTCGGTGTGGCTGTGGCACATGGGGACACAGACAAAGCCTGTCCCTCTGCTGAGCAGCACGGGCAGAGGAGCAGTTCCTCAGCTCACCCCTGCTTCTGCCTCTTTCCTCTCAGCCCTTCCTCATCGATGGCTTCAAGTTTGACATGCGCATCTACGTGCTGGTCACATCCTGTGACCCGCTGAAGATCTTTCTCTACAAGGAGGGCCTGGCCCGGTTTGCCACCATGAGGTACATCGATAACAGCACGAGAAACCTGGTAAAGAGGAAGTTTTAAAAAAACTCATATAGTATCTGTAGGTATCAGTCCTTAACTTGTTCTGGGGACATTACAGGCCTTGAAAAGGCAGGTATTGTATTGGGGGTTGCAGGAGTCCCAGCTTGATGCTTTCCTGTTCTTCCTCTATGCTCCTTCCTCCTCCTCACAGGAGGTGTTTCAGGAGGGATAGTACATCTACCCCAAGGCCCCACACTGGGGCTGTTCACTGGCATTACTATGGAATCATGGAATTGTTTGCTTGGATGGAACCTTGGAAGGTCTCCAACCTCATGCTGAAAACCGGCATATATATAACAATAAATTCATACCTAGTTTCTCAGGGTCTCACCCAATCAGGTTTTGAAAACCTGCAGAGTGAAGCCTCCCCCCACCCCTGGTGTCTCTGGGCAGCATGTTCTGCTTCTGGCCCTGATAAGAATGCTCAGTTCCACACCATTCCTACTCTGCCCATGCTCCAGGCAGAAAAGAACACGGGAGTATCTGCTGGGGCTGTTCCTGTTCTTGCTCAGTGGTTCAGAGTGAACAAACATCTCTTGTGGTTCCCTGCCAGGGTGACATCTGCATGCACCTGACCAATTACGCAATCAACAAACACAATGAGAACTTCAACACGGACGACATGGTGGGCAGCAAGAGGTACTGGCATGTCCCAGCACTGCAGGAACACTGCCTGGGGACACAGGTTTACCTCAGCTTTCCTGGAGTGACACAGCTGAGCCCTTACCACCCCCTGTTCCCACACAGGAAACTGTCCACCCTGAACGCCTGGATGGCAAAGCACAACTATGACACATCAAAGCTCTGGGCAGATATTGATGACATTGTTATAAAGACATTGATTTCAGCTCACCCTGTGCTGAAACATCATTACCAGAGCTGTTTCTCCAACCGCACTACTGGCTGTGCCTGCTTTGAAATCCTGGGCTTTGACATTTTGCTGGATAGAAGGCTGAAGCCATGGCTGCTGGAGGTGAGGAAGGAGTGGAGAGCTCAGAGCTGGGCCACTAGGACAGGGAGTTTGTTTGATTCAAAAGGGCCTCCATGCTCACAGAATTAACCAGGCTCTGAAGCCAAACAACCTGCTGTGAGCAGGATCCAAGAGAACCCATTTCCTGCACACCATCTAACAACAGGGATTTTCCCAAGCCTTCAGACCCCTTGTCCTGGGAGCACCCTGAATTTGTGACAGCTGCCCCCTGTGCGGTGGGCTCCAGTGACCTGTGGCACAAGTGGGCAGGAGAGAGTGCTGTGTGTGGCGCCTGTCTCTGGCAGGGAGCAGAGCATCCCGGGCCGTGGCTGGGGTGCCAGGTTAGGTTACCTGCTTGTCTTGGCAGGTGAACCACTCTCCCAGCTTCAACACAGATTCTCAGCTCGACCATGAGGTGAAGGATGCCCTTCTGTGTGACACCTTCAACCTGATCAATGTGCATGCCTGTGACAGAAAGAAGGTGCTGGAGGAAGACAAGCGGCGGGTAAAGGAACGGCTCCTGCAGGCCAGCCAGCCTCCCTGGGAGTCCAGGTA